TTTTTTTCGAAATATTAACAAGATGGCGGCTTAAGCATCTGCTTGTTATTCGGCTACTGAAAGTGCACCTAAGTTTTATTCTTTGCTATTGCCACAAATTACTTAACAATTGCAACTGTATAAAGACCAAACTTTCTTCATCTGATACTATATTTATAGGCACTTGTTATGAGTGGGAAATATTTTTCGTGCAATATTTATTCTCCACACACCACCTCGCGAGATCAACGTGTAGCTGGACACTTACACAGTGAGACCCTACGACATAAAAGTTGCAATTTATCTTCATATTTCGTGTAGTTATGCATTTAAAAGCACTTACCTGTTTTTTGAAAACCTTGTCCAACGTAATATCATATAAATTCTGTATTTCTCTCATTTTTTAGAAACTTGGGACTCCGTTTCTGTTTCTGTCCTCAAAAATCAACAGACGAAGGCACAGATACTAACAAACGAGACTTAAACGAGATAGCAATTAAGCGTAACAGAGATGGGCATCCATTGTTCTCTGGGTTCTATTCATTCCGACCAATGAGAGACCGTAATACGGGCTCCGCCCCCACGCGTGTAATCTCCTTCTGTTATAACTCCTTGGTTACTATAAGCAGAAAGTAAGCCTCTCCCTGCGTCCTAGTAGCCCCTCATACTGCTGTAGACACCTTGACCTTGATAAAAAAAAGGTTCCCAATATGCCACTGGTACAAAAGACCGTTTCTCATTAGATTGATCCATATCCTGAGTGCCACTCTGAATCCGGATACGCTCTCCTCTTCTGTCGAACTCCAGGGAATTGTGAATAAAAATGGAAATGCACAATCAAGTAGCTCGCACAAATCATAGCCTTCAAGTTGAGACAGAAAAATGAAACAATTCACTTATCCCCGACTCAATGTCACTGTTGGCGTTAGAGACATCTTTGTCACGGAAAAACATTTGCCATAAATGAAATTACCGGGGATGTTGACCTAATCTGTTTACCGAGGAGTGGTCGGGAGTGGTGAACCAAGTCTTCTCCGTTGGTGATAACTTTACTGCTTTGGTCTTCATAATCAAGGGGTTTGAACTCCAAAGAACGAGGTACGTTGAGGACAGTGATAATTCTGGTATGTTTTACATTATGCATGCTATATTAAAGGGGATAATAACTCTCCGTATGAGATCTATATTTCACAATAAAAACATTGTGAAAAATAATATATTCTATTGTACCACAAAAAGGGCAGTTATAGCTATTATTCTGATATCTGAGCTTGTCTGTAGACCAAGTGACATCCATTGATGGCTAAAAACAAAACTCTTTAGGAAAAAAAAAAAAAACAGGGACTAACTTTGAATGTAAAAATTAGTAATTATGAGAAAATTGTTGTTTACTCCAGGAAAATTCATTCTTTGGCCAACACGAAGAGTTACTATCCCTTTAATCCACATTCCTTTATTTGAAGCAATGTATACACTCCGCACGCACATACATATTGTAGCTAAATCATGGCAAATTACCATTGTTATATTTTCCAGATGATTGCTGCCAAATATGTAAAAAAAAATATTTGTCAAAAATAACATTCTGCTTCTATTCATGGAGTTTGTTAAGATTTTTTTGATCTGGTCACAAGTTAACGTTTCATGTTAAATGCGATAGTTGAGACGGCTAATGTGTCATCACGTATTGGTATTATGTTAAATGCGATAGTTGAGACGACTAATGTGCCAGCAGGCTTTGTTTATTGCATTGAGATCAGCTTGGAAACCGGGAGCTTGAAAAGAAAGACACTAAATTCCTGTTCTGTACGCAGACACTGTTGTCAAAAATGGAAGTGCAAGTTTCATGATATTGCCTGTATCTATACTTACTACCAAGACGCGCATTCTACGATCACCCGGGAAATCGACCCGTGTTTGTTAAAATGTAGTTGATCTTAATATATTGTTTTAGTGGAATATAATGTAAATGCTCGAAATTAACCTTTTTCTTTTATATTTGATATATGCTCTTATTTACAAATCATACGTTTTCAAGATAATTGAAGATTATTAAAGAAAATAAATAAGACTTAAGAATTAGAATTCACAGATGGGTTTCTATTTTATGACACGGTGAATGGCGTTGCCGTGTTAATAATTCAACGTTAGGGCCCTCGATGACAATACACACAAATGTCATTGATATAATGTTAATCAGATTTCCTTATTAAATGTTAGTCATATCTCGTGATAAACTGTAAGTCAGGTCTCATCATAAACAGTTAGCTACATCTCATCATAAACAGATATTCAGACCTAATTATGAACAGTAAGCAAAATCTCATTATAAACAGTTAATAAGTATGATCTCATTATAAACAGGTGGTCAGATCTATTTTTCTCCTACTCCTGAGATCTCTACCCCGTCATTGGTCAGCATGATAATTTCTGTAACTAGGGTTTATATGACAGAGTGAGACGATTTTTTTCGAATGAAATGTTCCCATTTTGGGAGAGGGTTTGAAGGTTTACAGCAAAACAAATTACACTGGTAAGAATTATTTTATATTTTGATGAACTCGAGAATTTAAAGTTTGTAAAAAGTCAAGCCTTTCAATACAGGGAAAAAAACGGTACTTAGGGTTCGGCACAGATCCCGTATTGATTGAGATTGAGACTGGCCTAATAAAGCTATTATGTTATTGCATTAGTGCAAAAAAAAAAAAAAAAAAGCGTGAGAATTTTTCTGCATTGGCGTGCAATTATTGTTCATGTGTCAATCCAGGCGGTATATGGACCAGCCGTACGTGCAGCATAGCACGATATTTGTGCACTGAGAAACTATAACACAGCAGACACCAC